TGGAGCAACAGTCATTGTTCAAGTGAAGATCCTCCTTTATTAGTCAGAGTAGAGTCCCAGATGCAATACTAGAAGAAGAAAGCACTTGCCTATCTGAAGTACCTATGCTGCTTCTAAATGCATCCCTCCCCCTCTTTTGCTTATTTTGGTTATAATTGGATTATTTTGCTTTGTTAAAGGAAATAAATTTCATTGGAGCTTTTATCTTTTCTTTATCATGGAGCATGAGTTTGAGTTATATAGGCACATTACCTCCTCTACAAGGTGTTGAGCTTCTGTGTGAAAAGAAGATACAGTGGGTATATGAAGAGGTATAGCGGCAGCAGTAATACAGAGTGGCTCTGGGTTGCCAGTGGTGGCGGCATGGCCAGCTGGCAGCAGTGACAGCTCTTATTTCCACTGCTGCCCTGGTCACCTTAGTTATGCTACTGTCTCTATGTGTGTGTCTATGGAGGGTGTTGTGTTGGATTACTTTAACTCCTTTTCCTGCCACCTACCAGTTCCTAAATTGTCCTGCTTTCTATTTTGCCTTATTTTTCTGTGTCTGTTATCAATCTTTGTTTTCCTTATAGAGACTTCAGTAAGTTTCTTGTCACCTACTCCTGCATTTTTCTCTTTAATAGGACAAACTGTGAGGTAGTGAGGCTGAAAGATTTTATCAAGACCATCAGTAATAAAAGCCACATGCTGGTTCAGACACCGAGCTGAGGAGGCAGGAACAACTGGAGGAATAGCATTAGTGTGGGTCAGGAATATGACTCAATTTTGGGGGAGTTTATTTGTAGCACATAGTAACTGCTTTTCCTTTTGAGCATTATTTGAGTTGTAGTTATACGTACACAATTAAGTTGCTGTGAAGCAAGAGGAGACAGGTGCTAATCAGGGTGCCTTGATCCATTACTGGTGGCATTTTGTTCTTGCACAGTTGGAACCCCAAGTGACATCTGTTTTTTGTCTGTATCCTGCCTCTAGGTAGTCATTGAGTCCAAGGAGTTCTCCTTTGCATATCTTTGCTTTGTAGTTTTACCTAAGTGGAACTTAGTTATCAGTGATTTTAGATTGTAAGCCTTGTGGTACAGATACTTTGTCTTCTTTCTGTACAAACAGCAGTACAGACTTATATTATACGCATTTGGAAATTGGTTAACATTGCTCTGTAGTTCCCATCTTGTCTCAGGATTTACCGTGGCTATGTGATTTTCGTGTACCACAGCCTTGCTTAGATTCACTCACAACAGGGCAGTAAAGCTATTTAGCAGTCTTTACAGACATTCCCTCAGCTTACTTGAAAACGTTTTTTCAGCCATTCTGTCTTTGGACCCATTGGTTCACCTGCCTTACTTTCATGGCTTGACCTTATCTCATTTCCACTTTATTGTGTCTGCTTTATTTTTTGTCTGCTTGCAGTGAGTATCAGCTAACTCTTAAGAGTCAGAAAAAAAACCCTTTTGCTAAACACAACCAAGAGGTGACTACAGGAAGCAG